AACCCACCCTGGGCTTGGACACCCCTCCACGAGGACGCCTTCCGCGCCCTCAAGAAGGCGGTGACATGCGCACCGGTTCTTCACCTACCCGATTTATACCGCTCTTTTATCCTTACCATCGATGCGTCAGACTTCGCTGTAGGAGCAGTGCTTTCTCAGGTCTTCCCCTCCTCTCCTGATTCCTCTCATCCTCGTATCCCTCGCTTCCCACCACCTACCCCTACCACTGCTTCCCGACTGACGCCTACTCGTCCAGCTACTGACGAGCCTTCTAATGACTATTCTCCTACCATCGTCGAGGACGGCACTGTCGAGTCTCGCTCCGATGATTGTTCGATAGCCTTCTACTCCCGTCAGCTTCTGTCCGCCGAGATAAACTACACCGTTGATGAACGTGAGGTTCCCGCAGTAGTTTATGTCGCTCGACACTGGCGTCACTACCTGCACGGGGCACCGTTCACGGTGCGTACAGACAACTCTGTTGTCCAGGCTTTTCTGACAAAACCGAAGCTCACTCCTCGAGAAGCTCGATCGTGGCGCGACCTATCCGAGTTTAGTTTCACCTCTGAGCACATCAAGGGTGAAACTAATCGGGTCGCAGATGCCTTATCCCGGCGCCCTGACCACGACCAGGAGCACATCCAGCTCTCTTCCATCTCGGTCACCACTGTCCACCACTCGGTGATCGATGAGTTTCGCACTCAGTATCGCCACTGCCCTGACTATCGCGACATCCACGCGACCCTTCGGAGTGGCAAGACTGTCCCGAACTACTCTCTCGGAGACAACGGTCTTGTGTACTGACACGGTTCACAGGGCACCAGAGAGCCCCGTATTTGCGTTCCCTCCACTGTAAAGCTACGTGTCCGAGCATGACCAGGCAGCTGCCGGTCATATCGGCTTCCACAAGACGTTGGCTCGTGTGAGCCGCCTGTACGTCTGGCCGAAGCGCAAGGACTTTGTGAAGGACTACGTCGCAGAGTGTCCCACCTGTCATGAGGTGAACAGTGCGAACCACCTACCTTATGGTTTGCTTCAACCTCTTCCTATCCCTGAGGGTCGTTGGCAATCCATCTTGATGGACTTTATCGGTCCTCTTCGACCTCCAACCCCCCGTGGTCATGATGCTATCCTGGTCGTCGTCGACCGCTTCACGAAGCGTGCATGCTTTGTTCCGTGCCACTATGCCATCAGTGCACGTGAGGTCGCCGGCATCGTATTTGACCGAGTCGAACGTGACCACGGCTTACCTCTGAGCATCATATATGACCGTGACCCGCGCTTTACCAGCCGATTCTGGCGACGGCTCCACGAGGTGTACGACACTCAACTCTGCTTCTCCTCGTCTTACTATCCTCAGACTGATGGTCAGACCGAGATCACGAACAGGACTCTCGGAAATATTCACCGAAAGATTGTTCGTGACGACGAGTAGTGGGACCTCCATCTTGCCCACGCGGAGATAGCCTACAACCACGCCGTCTCGCCAGCCACGGGGATGTCGCCTTACTATTGCGACCTCGGCTATCACCCTCGTGTTCCCGCGGACTTTCTTCGACCGTCACAGATGCACCCCGACACGAGTTGGCCCGCGCTCAATGATTGGGTTGCACACATGATGTCGATCATGAAGACCGCACATGAGCACATAGCCGCTTCCCAGACTCGCATGGCAGCACGTGCGAACCGATCGAGGATGGACCATCCATTCAAAGTCGGTGATGATGTGCTTATCGACGCCCGCCACTTACAGCTTGAAGCGGACATGCTTCGCAAGTTTCAGCGTCGCTTCTTTGGTCCATGCCGCATCCTCCAGGCCGTCGCTTCTGATACGGCATCTAGCCCAGTCAGCTTTCGTGTGAAGCTGCCCAACTACCTACGCCAGGCTCGTGTGCATGATGTCTACCACGTCTTGTTACTGCGTCCTTACCGCAGACCGTCTGAGCGTTTCACTGGACGACCATACGAGCGCCCTCCACCCCTCATGGTGGACGGCCACGAGGAGTTCCTCTTTTGAGACATCATTGGTCGCCGAGTCACCGATGACAACCCTACCCACGTCGAGTATCTCGTACGTTGGAAGGGTTACCCTGATGAGGAGGCTACCTGGGAGCCCCTCGAGCACTTGCAGCACGCTCGCATGTTGGTGCGTGCCTATGACCGTGCTCGTCGTGCTGGGTTCACTGCTCCTCCTCAGCCCACTGACCCTCCTCCTTCTCCCCCGGCTGAGGAGACCGCTGAAGTCGAGCCTGCTCCATCTGAGGCAGATCTTCAGCAGCAGTCGGATGCTTTTGAGCGTCCACAGCGCACTCGTCGTCGTCCTGCTCGATACAACGATTGACTCTGACTTACCTTCCCACGTCCTTGACTTCTCAGTACTCCATCCACTCAAGTTTTGCTACTTCAGCTCGTCGACGTTACGACTCTTCCTCGACGACATTCCGGACTTCTCATCGTGGACGTCATCGGCAGCTTCATGGACTTCATCACGATCAGCTCTGCCTACTTCAGACGTCGCCACTCTCTTACCACTCTACCTTGTACAGTACCCTGCTTGTCTCGCATGATGGTCTCCTTTTAGCCGGGTTCCTCTGAGTTGGGCTCTCCCTTGGTATACGCATAGGCATCGGGACCGTAGCGTTGCCCTGGCTTTCCATCTTACGGATCTAGCTCCGACTTCCCCACCTTAGGAGTCATCTGCATGATTCCCTTACCCATCACCTTCCTACCCTCTGCCGGCCCTCACGCCCTAGTTAGGCAGCCCCGCATGCTTCATCTAGGTGCGCCCAGTATACCTGGCTCCCTTGTTCCCGTGCATGGTCGACCTCCATAGCGGTCACCCCTTAGCCGAGCTTTACCCGCCCTGATGGTCTATCTGTTAGGGTCATTGGTTTTGTTCGCTCCCAGTTCCCTACCCTCATTGAGCCTGATGACATGTGTCTCCCTGTTATCTATGTGTGAATGCCCTTAGGAGTTTTCGACCCTTAGGCTGCCTTCGTCACCCTCAGAGACCATCCCACCCTTTGGTTTGCGACACACTTCTCATGTGACATATGGTTGTCTTGTTGATTGCTTTGATGCTCTCAGACTGAGGCTACTGCCTCCGASAKTTYTAGGRTTTAGHTGTTCTGCTTTTGYTGTTCTTAGGACTTATACACTAGTCAGTTGTTACCAGACTGAGGCTAGTGCCTCCAACATTCTAGGATCTAGTTGTCACTACTTTCTGCTTTCCTAGGACATGTATGTTAGTTAGTTGCTTTTGCTTTCCTAGGAAATGTATGTTAGTTAGTTGCTTCTACTTTCACTTAGGCTGTTAGCTGTGACATTGCTGTTTTGTGACATTTTATATCCTAGGTTGCATCGCATGGACTCAGCACGGAGCTTGCTCCGCATCCTAGACTACTCAGGTTTTCTTTTCTTTGGTAGAGTTCCGCTTCTTGGCGGAAGCATGTTTGTATCGAGGCGATCCATCACAGGCCGAGGATCGTGTAGAGGACCTCGGGTTGGCCTGTGAGACCAGCCCCTTGGCCTGTTCTCACAGACCTGTGTTGTATTCGGGGTAGGCCAGTCCAGGCCGGTACCTATGTCGGTACCAGCCAGTCCAGTCCAGTCCCGTCAGTCCGCTGGGTATACCCCAGCCATTGTCTGTTTTCAGTCTCATTCTTCACTTGCACATTTTGGAGTACGTGCGTTGGAGTCTTGCGTGGGGAGTTGCGTTGTGCCATCTCGCTCCCTCCCCCTTCTTCCTCCATATCCATCTCTGTGTCAGTAGCGGAGCACCACACCTGGTGGGTCCGCTACAGCAGTGCCACGGATTTCTACCCAAGGCGTTCTTGTAGCATTTATCTATGGGTAGAGATGGGAAGACGAAATATGTTTAAAAATTAAAAGTAAAAAAATTAATTAAAAAATGGTGTTTTCCCAGTTCGTCCGTTTCCCAACTGACGAAAAAAAAAAAAAAAAGGGGAAGAAAGAAATACAGAAAACCGAAAGGGGGTCTAATATTGGAAGGACGACATTAACCCCAGAGATTATTTAAACGTGAGAGGGCCAAGGCCGGGAAGAACAGACTCATAGAGAGATGGGGGGAACTGAGTATGAGGACCCCAGCGTAGCCAGATCTCTTTCGAGAGGGCAATAAATTATTATGCATCTCTACAGTTTTTTTTTTAATTAGGGGGCGGAATGACAGAAATGTATGGGGGAAAAAAAATAAAAATAAAAAATCATCACGTGAGACGTCGGGCCAGTCTCGGCAGATCTAAATAGTCTGGGGAAATAAGGATGCCGCGTAGAAGTCGATTTCTTCTTCAGCTTGCTTCGGACTCGGGGCAATAAATAAAGACTAAAAGAAAACTACATGCCCCTTTTGTTTATGGGAAAGGAGAAGGCAGAGAAAGAGGGGGGGGAAGGAGAGGGGGGGAGGGGGACTCGAAATGAAGGGCGGATTGCTCTTTTCTTTCCAATTAATTGAAGGTCTAAAGCTTTTTTTTTGGGTGATATAACAACATAAATAAAGTTACAAGTACAAAATTATACAAAAAATTATGTCAGGCTAGAGCCGCTAGAGAGGATGGCTCCCAAGAATAGAATCAGCTGAGACCAAAAAAAAATATTTTTCTTTTAAAAGATCTACGAGAGAGAGAGAGAGGAAAAAAAAAAAAAAAAAAAAAAGAGGGAGGAGAGAAGGGCTGTTTCAATCAGCACACGGCCCGGAATAGGAGTTGAACCTTCCAAGATCAAACAAACACCTATTCAAGTTTAACTTAATTCAACAGAACACAAATCCTCTCTAGTTCCGACTCTTCCGAGGAACTAGAGGGGAATAATTCAATAGAACACAAATCCCCTACCGGACTGTAGTCACTGTAGTACTGTACTGGTGCGAGCTTCAAGTTAGCTGCTGCCTTCTACCTCAAGGAGGTACTATGGGGCGCATGGCGCAGAAGCCATGGGGTGAGAGAGATCCCCTTCCCCCGCCCCCATCGCTCTTTCTGCTCACCACTCTTGACCTCTTCGTCTCATGCCCCAAGTCCCCAAAACACCACCGAGGCCGAGTCTTCCTCCGTTTTCGTCTCCTCGAGTGAGACGGTGAGACCAGATCATTGATTTGATGTTGCCTAGGAGGCTAGGACACACTTAGTCTTGAGGATGGTGATGTCCGAGTAACTGTTGTGTTTGGCTTTAAACAGCCTATCGTTTCCTCTAACCTCCTCAGCTTCCAGATTACATTCACAATGGCAGCAATGGCTGCCCTTGCGGCTATGGCTACGTAGCCCTACCCCTTTTTTCAAGGATATTTTGGTCGAGGATGGTGTTTTCCGAGTATTGTTTGGCTAAGTTGGCTTCGAACAGCCTAATATCGTTCCTCAGCTTCCTGATTACACATTGATAATGGGTGTGCCCTTGCGGTTATAGCCACGTAGCCCCACCCCTTTTTTGAAGGACATTAGTGGCCTCAGTAACTGCCAGCAAGCCATGATCCTCGACGAGTTCTTCATCTCGCACACAACATTACACTTGGCGAGTTTCTCCCAGTGGCACCATTTGCGTACTAAGTATTCTGCGGGATTCAATACAACCCCATGGTCCCCACCACAGCCACTGTGACAGAAAACAGAGGAGAGAGGCAGGCACAACTCCAGGTGCATTGAAGGTTAGAAAGGACAACATGGCAGCAAAACCTGTAGAAAAACCACAGACAGAAGGAAACCCCAGGAAAGGGGAGGGGAGGGGGGGGACCACCCAGAATAATGAGTATCCCGTCAGGAACTCAGGTCAGTTTATATCCAATTATCACAACAGTTCATGGGTGTACCTTTCAGCCACGTGCATTTGAAACGAAATTCTACAACCTCCTGAGATCCAACAAAAGGAAGAAAGAAAGAAAGAAAGAAAGAAAGAAAGAAAGAAAGAAAGACAGAAAGAAAGAAAGAGAGAGAGAAAGAAAGAAAGACAGAAAAACAAAGACAAGAAAAGCTTTGCCACTCTCTGCATCATACTGCTAAGTAACTGCATGTCATGTTCAGAATTATTTTACTCATCTTATTCCGCCAGGATTCGAACTCAAGACTGTTTGTATCAAGTAACCAAGGTGTAGGTGTACCATTGATAGCCACGTGGGTTTGAAACGAAATCGTACAATGTCGTTAGATCCAACAGAAGAAAAAAGGGGTAAGTACGTTCATGTCACCCTTGAGTATTGAATGGCCAAAAAAAACACGCGTAGGCGGCAAAGGAAATTGTGCTGAGTTCGAAAGGCAACGGAAAAGACAATTGAAGTACCGACGGCCGTTGGGGTGTCATATTTACAGGGGTCGGCCGTGGTGTCAGAGGGGGAAGGGGGGGGGGAGGAGGAATCCCAACCGATACTTTTGGACCGAAATGGCTCATTTCGAGTTGGCGCATGGTTTCTTTGCTTTGCCGGCTTGAATTTTTTTTTTTGTCTTTAGGGATTTTCTTACCTTTTTTTCCCGGTC